CCCCGAGTGCACAAATTTTTGTGCACCGGGCCTCTAGTATATAGATATATATTTTTTCTTTTTCTCTTTTTGGTTAATTCTCAACTGCAGTATTTTTTCCGTTGCCTTTTAGAGAGAGTGGAAAGGGGGGAGGTAGGGTGGGAAGAGAGAGAGAGATTGAGAGAAATGTCGATGTGAGAGAGACTCTTCAATTGGTTGCCTCCCGTATGTGCCCCAGCTGGGACCAGGGATCAAATCTGTGACCCAGGTATGTGCCCTTGAGCAGGAATCCAACACGACTGTGGGTGGGCAAGTCGACAGTCTAATCACTGAGCCACACCAGCCAGGGCCAGCTTATATATTTTTTAAAATAAAACATTCATTTTGGATTTCCTCAGACATGATCGTGAAATTATTATTTTTTAATTTTCCTTAAGTGGACAGAGAGGGTGGTCGATCTTCCTAATTATCTTACTGACAGCATTCTTTTGGCATCATGAAATTACAGAACTTAAGGAATTGTGACAGTGTCGTTGATTGATTCCTTATGGCCAGAATTCAGTAATGCTATTTGCTGTTGTACTTTCTAAACATTGTAAAAATAGTGGTTTCATGATATCCTTCAGTAATCGTGATTATTTTTTATTACTCAATATTAGAAAATTTATTGTTTGCCTTTAACGTACAATCACCCTACCCATCATGTCTTCCTCTAACCCTTTGTGAATAAATTTGTGTCCTTCCATTAGCATGAGCTTATTAGTTCACTTCCGTTCCCATCTTGGGTATCAGCTTAGGTATCACTTGCTGAGAGCAGCCATCCCTGTCTCTCAAGTCCTAGGATTCTGTTATTCCTCAGGAGTTCTGTAGCCCCTTCACCTTCCATGATCTAGGTACTATCACACTGTGAAGATCAGGCAGTGTGTATTATTCACTCACCATTATACTGTCATTTGACACTGTGACTGGCAGAATAACAAAATTCTTCTTGTTAAATTTTGATCTAAAGACCAAGCCTTTTTGGAACAATGAGCATCTTGGCATCAAAGCCCTCTGGCCTCACCTCTCTTAGGAGCCAGATTCCTACTTTCCAATTGGATTCAAAGCTTATTGATGCAGGAGTCCTATTTTTGGTCTCTTCTGTATCATATCCAGTCGTACAAGTCTAGTAAGTTAACAGATGCCTGTGAATTAATGCCGAGGTAATCAAAGAGAAAGTAAGAACTGAGGTGCCTCAGTCATCTCCCTGAAAACAGGGAAGAATGGCCTTAAATCTCACTAAACTTGCTGTGAGTAGGAAATGCGGTATCATTGTCCAATCTCATTCCAAGGTTTCACATGTATACAATGCCAAGAGACTTAGAACTAGTTATTTAAAAATGAAGTAAGACATTTGTGGGTTTTTTAAAAATGTATATCCATTATTTTTTCAAGTGGTTATTGAGTTTTTAGGACATAAATATTTATTAAGTTGTTTAGACTTAACTACTGTTAGGTACTTCTTTTGGCCTAAGGGCACTATGGCAAAATTGTTAAGACATTAAGAATCCCTTGCCTGACTGGGACTGGTGTGGCTCAGAGGTTGAGCATCAACCTGTGAACCAGGAGGTCATGGTTTGATTCATAGTCAGAGCACATTTCTTGGTTGCGGGCTTGATCCTCAGAAGGGGTCGTGCAGGGGTCAGCCAATCAATGATTCTCTGTCTTCATTGATGTTTCAATCTCTTTCTCCCTCTCCCTTCATCAATAAAAAGATATATTTTTTTTAAAAAAGGAATCCCTTGACTTACTAGGCTTGAGCTCAGAAAGTTTAGAAATCTCTGGCCTAGTAGGAGGGATAGACAAGGAAATGATCAGTAATGTTTAGGTATTTTCAGGGTGTAATGGTTGTACGGAAGAGAGGGTTCTTGGCCTGGTAAGTTTAGTGAAGTCTTTACAGAGGGAGTTGTTCCTAAACTCTGTTTTCAGCACAAAAGAAAAGTAGGGATAAGCTGGTTGAACAAGAGCACTACAAAGAGCATGGTAATAAGTACCTTGGTAAATTGGGGCATACAAATAATTCTATGGAGTTACCGCATGGTAGAACATGCGGTGCAAGGAAAGAGCATCAAAATACAGGACAGAAGAGGGAAGGAGGGTCAGACCGATCCTTCAGGGTCTTGGGAACTCTAGAGGTCTTTCTTGTTAGCTAAAGGGTTTTTACATTATCTGGAAAGTAGGAGGGGTCGCCTCAGACATTTTTAAGCAGGGATGTGGTATGATCAGATTTGTGTTTTTGTTTTTTTAAATCCTCATGCTTGTATTGATTTTAGAGAGAGATGAAGTGAAAGAGAGAAACATTGATGCGAGAGTGAAACATCAATTGGTTGCCTCCAACAGGGGATCAAACCCACAACTTGGATATGTGCTCTGACCGGAATTGAACCCTCGACCTTTTGGTACATGGGATGACACGCTAACCAACTGACCTACCCGGCCAGGGCCAGGTTTCTGTTTTTGTTGTTTTTTAAACACTTGTTAAGTGGAGAATGGTTTGAAAAGGAGCAGGATACAAGAAGCCCAGCAAGAAGGCTGTAATAATGATACATGTGAAAAATGATAAAATTTGTATTTAACAAATACAGTTAAGCAAAGACCAAGACTTGCTTAGGGGAACAAGCCCCAGCATCCTCAGGTCTGCCCCAGCTTGTTTCCTCTTCATTAGCTGTAGATCCTGGGAAAACCACTCAGTTCACCTGAGCCTCACATTCCTTGGCTGTGAAACAGGACACCTACTGGGATAAATAAATACAAAATGTTTAATCACAGCGCCTGCTGCACAATAAGAATGTTAGCTATTATCACCTTACCTTTGTGACGGCTAAATGACTACACAATAGGTTAGCAAGTGATAGCAATCATTTTATCCTCAGACATGGAGGTTTTATTTCATTTTCTCTGGAGGAGATTGTATTCTTTGCCTTTGTTTATATTTAATGGACAAAAACTTGGATTTCTTTATTGTAAATTCAAATGGAATTAATGATAGTTTATAATATTTTTTTCTACCTTCTTAGGCTTTATGACAATCTATCCTGTAGGAAAATGAAATAAAACTAATCTTTTTGAAAAAATATTTTCTTTCTTTCCTTTTGGATAGATGTATTTTCATTTTTCTGATCTTAACTGTAAAGATGCAGTTTTTTTTAATGTTTAGACCCAGAAAGCAATAAAGTGGATTTGTGAGTCAATATAATATTGTGTGAAGCTTTTCCCCAACTTTCTTTTAGGTAAATTTTTTCCATACATAGTCTGCCTTTGAAAAAAGTAAGATAGAAATTTAAAAGAGTGACAACATATTAATTAGCCACTGGTGGAATTGGATGTTAATGGTGAATGAGGTCCCTTTGGGAAGAGGCTACTCAGGAAAGCTTTATAGGGGATGTGGATCATTGAATCTTCATTTGAGCCTGAATGAATAGGCTGATTGGTGGAGAGCAATGAAAGTCAGGCAGGAGAGCAGAGAGGCCGGTCTGCAGAGAACAGATGGCTTACAGTGGAAATTTTTGAGCCATGTGACATGGAATATATTTGAGGCAAAAACTTGATGGAAGCCTCTTGATATGAAACTGTAAATATTGTACACATTTTCATATATTAGGGAGATATGATCTTTCAACAGACTATTAAAGTTTGAGTCACATTGAAAAGGGAATATAGGACTCCATTGGCATTTGGTTATTTCATGGTTTGAGAGAAATATTTATTTACATGCTTGTATGATTGCATTCAGCATTTAAAAAAAGCTTTATTGAATTACTAGAGGCCCAGTGCGTGAAAATGCATGCACTGGACGGGGGGTCCCTCAGCCAGGCCTGCCCCCTCTCACAGTCTGGGAGCCCTGAGGGGTGGGAGGCGACCCGGTGATCAGGGGAAAGCGGCGCCCCATCACACCTCTGCTGCTGCCACTGCCGACAGCGCAAGCCTTGGCCAGCCCTGGTTACCTGAGCCTTGGGCGGCCCTGGGCGGCTGGGCAGCCGCCATCCAAGTCTTGCCTGCACCTTGGGCATTGTCTGGGCAGCCGCCATTTGAGGCTTGCCTGTGCCTCGGGCCAGCCCTGGACAGCTTGGGGGATGAGGGGACTGGGTGCCGCCATCTTGTGGCGATGGGCGTTGCCATCTTTGAGGGCATGGCAGTCAATTAGCATATTCCCTCCTTATTGGCTATGGGCACCACCATCTTTGCCACGGCATGAGGATCAATTAGCATATTCCCTCTTTATTAGATAGGATGTTACAAAAAAGTACATATCATAAATGCAGACCTTGGCCAGTTTCCACAAACTAAGTGAACCGATGTAATCAACACCCAGATCACAAGGCAGCATTAACAGCACCACATTAGGCCCCTCATGCTTCCTTTTATTCACTACTCCCACCTCCCACCCCAATAACCACTATCCTGACTTCTGATGGCATAGATTAGTTTTATCTGTTTTTATACTTTATAAAGTAGAACCGCCCTAACTGGTTTGGCTCAGTGGATAGAGGTTCAGCTTGTGGACTGAAAGGTACCAGGTTCGATTCCGGTCAAGGGCATGTGCCTCGGTTGCGGGCACATCCTCAGTGGGAGATGTGCAGGAGGCAGCTGATCGATGTTTCTCTCTCATCGATGTTTCTGGCTCTCTATCTCTCTCCCTCTCTGTAAAAAATCAATAAAATATATTTAAAAAAATTTTTTTTTAGTCTTTGGCCCATGCTTATTAGATAATCTGGCAGTTTTGTACTCAATTGTATGAATTCTTTGTATTTTCACACTTAAAAAATGTTTTAAAGATTTTTTTATGGATTTTTCTATGAGTATAAATTAAAGAATTCCAGAAACTTACAGCCTTTCACAGAAAGGAAATATTTTATGTATTCATTGTAGCCATTGCCCTGTGTCACGTGTGCCCTGAATGATCCCATTTTTAAAGCAGTGATAACCTAGTTGAATAATTGCTGGCAACAATAACACAATATAGTTTTTTCTATTTTTTTCAGATGACAATTTATGAAGATTCAGTTGCAGATCATCTTACAAAAATCCTTAATTCTGATGAACATGCAGTAGTCATATCATCTGCTAAGTGAGTTACAGAGTGAGGTCATGAAATAGTTATATGGTGAAAATGAAAGGGAAGCTGGTTTTACCACTGACATTTCTCTGACTTGTTTTCCAAAAGATATCTTTGTAGTAGCTTATTGAATTAGATAAACCAAATTTCCATTTAAAAAATCATTTGACATTTATGGTGGAGAATTTTTAAAGGGTATTTTTTAAGGCTTAATTTGAAAGATTTCTTTGTCAAAAAGGTACAATAAGTGTTTAGAGTTTAATTATGCTAAGTTCCTATTTAAAGAAGTATTTATGGTTATTATAATATAGGAAACACATTTCATTATAATTTATTACTTCCATAAACACTACTACTTAGGAAATGTTTATATCAGGAAAAGGAAAACTGATGAGATTTTTTTAAATGACTTTTCTCAGCATGTTTAAAGTACATAATTATATTTTAATTTAAAGTTACCAGAATTTAGTTAAGCTGATTCTGTACATGGAGCCAAAGCCACTTGATTTTATCATTCCACACGTTGCCTGGCTGGAATTTAGAATTTAGTTTTCAGGCATCCTAAACTGAAGTTATGAAGACTGGAAAGTCAACTAGAAGAAAGGATGAAACCAAATGAAATTGTCAACTGATAAGCAAAAGTAAAAGAATGCTTTAGAACTCTGGCTTAGCCAGGGTATATAACTGTTATTCAGAAAGAGGAGAAAAGAGGGGAAGAAGGAAAGAAAGAAGTAGGGGAATAATAGAAGAAAAATACACAAACTTTAGTATAATATATATTTAATTTACAAAAAATCAAGGAAAGACAAACCAGAATAAATCAATTTGCTTGTGACAAAACTACAAATGTAGTAATAGTTGGTTTTGATGCTATAGCCCCCAGGAATTGGAAACAGGACTGAGCAATAGGAAAGAATTGAATGACTCTCAAGGGAAGCACACTGGTTGCCCAAATAGGTGGGCTACAGAAGGTCTTTGGTGGGTAGTGCTGCTAGTGGTTTCTATGTTTTTGTTTGGTTGTTTTTTAATGAATTGTATTGCTTTATCATGAAATGTGCAAATCTCTAATTTGTCCCAGACCTCAGCACTCCCTGTTGTCTTTCTCATCTTGGACCAAATTCATATACCTAAGTTACTTCCTTAGGTACTTCCTACATTTATTTCCTCTAGGAAGACATGTAATGTTTGCCACCCTTGCCGTATGAATCAAATGTTTCTTATAGGACATTTTAGAGGAAATAGATAGATAAAATAGAAAGTTGGAACCTTTCTTAAGGTATATCAAGTTATAAAAGAACTAGAGGCCCAGTGCACAAATTTGTGCACTCGGGGGGGCTCCCTCAGCCTGGCCTGTGCCCTGTTGCAGTCTGGGACCCCTCGGGTGATGACCACCTGCTCACTTAGGCCTGCTCCCTGAGGGATTGGGGCTAAGCTGGCAGGCAGACATCCCTCTTTCAGCCCAGGAGCCCTCGGGAGATTTCCACTTGCCAGCAGGGAGCAGGCCTAAGCTGCAGTCAGACATCCTTAGCGCTGCTGAGGAGGCAGGAGAGGCTCCCACCACCACCGCTGTACTGGCAGCCGGCAGCCTGGCTCGTGGCTGAGCAGAACTCCCCCTGTGGGAGCACACTGACCACCAGGGGGCAGCTCCTGCATTGAGCGTCTGCCCCCTGGTGGTCAGTGTGTGTCATAGTGACCAGTCATTCCCAGTCGTTCTGCTGTTAGGGGCAGTTTCCATAATACCCTTTTATTATATAGGATTATTCTTTAATACAGTTAAGTAACTATTGTATCTGGTCACATTTCATAGTTTGGAGGTTAGCAAAGTCTTACTATAGCCTTCATGTGTTTGATGTGTTTGATTACTGACTCCTACACATTTTCTATATTTTTTAATATTTAGTTTCATAGTTATATTTTTTTCTTGTGATGAGAACTTTTGAGATCTACTTATATTTTTAATTACATGGAATTAATGTTATAAAATGTGGACAGATGCAAATAGGGTTATTACAGCAATGACCCCTTTTATTCCTTATTTTCCTTGAACTTAATACCTGTAAAGTATAGCATTTTTAGCAGAGGGAATTTTTTTCAAATGAAAACTTATGAAGAATCCCAATATTTAAATAAAGTACATTTTGTTGGCATTAATAAATTGGGTAAGATTAATTTATTAGTCATTTATGAGAAAAATAACTAATATTGTTATAAATGACAGGATTTTATATTTAATGCAGTTTTAAGTCATTTCTGTGTTTTATTTTGTTTAGGTATAAAGAAATTGCCTTCAATTAAATAAAAATAGAAGATGCTTTAGTCCAAGATTTGCACAAAACTAGTGAATTTTGAAATAAAAGTTAACATACTTGTCTCTAATATATCCAATGATTATTTGAACATTAAAAATTATATTCCTTATTTCCAAATAAATTTGAATCAAGTATTTGTGAAATCTTTGAAATATTTTTGCAAAACAGCTTGAAAACCACTGGAGTAAGTCCCAGTGTTGCCTTAAGTACTGTAGGAGTAAATCTGAGGCCCTAGATGAGACTCAGCCATTCGCTAGCTTTGTGACCTGTGTCTCCTTATCAGGTTCAAGAATGGAAAGAATGCCTATCCTCCCTCCCTCATGTTAGGAGAACTAAGTTGAGCAATAAAGTAAATAAAGCTTATAAACTAGAGTGCTGTGTTAAATCATTGAATCATCACCTCATGTTTTCCCCAATTTCATTTGGATTCTTTTTTTTTACCTTGACCTAGCTCCTTGTCAAGGCTGTGTGCTCAGCATTAGCGTTAGTGTTCTACCTGACTAGCTCGTTTGCCTTTAAGTAGATTCTATTCCAACCCTCTCATCACTGACCTCTAGGCTTGCCTGGCTACCCCGTCTTTACAACCCCAGAATAAAATTTTAAAGAGATTCAAGAAAGAAAAGAGAAGACAACATGGAATAACATTATACCCAAAATACAGCATTTTTTACTTAATTTATGGACATTTTCAAACATACATAAAAGTAGAAAGACTGGAGTAATGATTTCCCACTATGTTTGTCACTCTGCTTCAGTATTTATCAACGTTTTGTCATATACTCCCCATTTTTCATTGATTTTTTTAGAGAGAGAGGGAGAGAGAGAGAGAGAAACAGATAAATATCAATGTGAGAGACACATTGATTGGTTGCCTCCCGCACACGCCCTGACCAGAGCCAGGGATGGAACCTGCAACCCAGGTACATGCCCTTGACTGGAAACCAAGACCCTTTGGTGCATGGGCTGATGATCTCACCATTGCGAACACCAGCCAGAGCCCCATTTTCTTTTTGCTACAATCTCTCTAAGAAAATCCCAGAAATTATTGTATTCCACTTGCAGAATATGTATTTAATAATCTTTTAAAAAAATAATTCTGTTACTCAGTCCATTTTACCCAGTTATCTCAAAAGGTTTTGTTTGTTTGTTTTAAAACATTTAATTTGTTCAAATCAAAATCTTAAAAATGGTTCCGGTGTTGCGTTTGGGTGATATGTCTCTTTAAGACTTGTAAAATCTGTAACCGTTTCCTAATGCTTAATCCCTAGCATAACACATAACCGCTTTTCTCTTCAGGAACAGTGTATTATCACGATACCACTAGGATGAATAGTAGAGTGACAGTGACAACAAAAGTGACAAATTCTTGTTTGATCAAGTCTGCAAGTCCTTTTATGAAATTATATAATGCTTAGGAGATAATGCTCTTTTAAATGGGATTGGAAAATACTCTTATCAAGATGTAATTTGAATATTTGACAAAGTCTTGTTATTACCTTAAAATTGCTTTTATTTAAAGTATGTAGAGCAAGGCTTATTAATGTATCCATTTCTCACTTAGAATGTTTTGAACTTATCTAGGACATGTCAAACAGTAGATAGAATTATGGGTTTGTATACAAATGATTCCAGTATTTTGGGAGTTTGCTTATTTTTTAAATATTTATAAATGGGGGGAAAATCAGCCTACTGAGTTTATGGAATTGCACAATTTCTTTTCTTCAAAGGATACTATGTGAAACTGTAAAGGACTTCGTTGCCAAAGTAGAGAAGGCATATGACAAAACATTGGAAAATGCTGTTGTGGCCGATGCCGTGGCCAACAAAGTAAGGACACGATCAGGGCATGAAAGGTTTTTACTGACAGTGTTAACATTGAACTTGTTTTATAGCTAAATTGATTAAGTGGTTTTCTTGCCAAAACATAAATCACAAGAAAGTTCCTTTTGAATCAGATATAACTGTTTAAAATATTCTATTTTATGGTTACTCCTTAAGATGTAGGAAAACTACATTGCTGGGGACCATCCGACAAACGCACCTCCCTGTTCCCGCCGCCTGGCACTGGGAAGGAGAAACGCACAGTAGTCAGGTCACAGAGAGGAATGGCTTTCCGTTTCCCGGCAGCCTCTGGCCAGTGGGTGCCTCCCAGCGCAGTTTCTCAGATTCCCTAGACTTTACAGGCCTCTGTATCTTCCAGGGTTCCGTTTCTTGCCTTTATCTTTATAGATTTTTTTTCCCCCATTTGAAAGCTTTCTGGGCCTAAACTAAGAGTCATTTACTGAACCCTAAAAGCTACTGTCTGCTTTCATGCATTCATGACAGGGCATTTGTAAAAAAGGCTTGGTGCTCTTGGGCTTGCAAAGAAATGATCTTCCCCAGATTCATGTTGTAGATGGGGGTTTATTTGAGAGGGAGGAAAAGAAAATAGAAATAAACATACAGTTGAAGTTTCCAGTCTCTTTCTCTTGTGGTTCTACCCTGTGGAGAGCTTCAGAAAAAGAAACCCTCTTGACCGACACTTTTCTTTGAACTCTTTCTGCTATAACTTTGTCTTGCCTGTTATCAAGGACAAATAAACAGAGAAGGAAATCACTGGAAATTCAGTCCTCAATTACCCTTAGTAATTCAAGGAAAGTAGAAAGAAACAAGGGCCAGTGCCTGTGCATTTTCCTTTATGCTCTTTCTTTGAGCCAATAATTCCTCAGGCACCATTCACTCCTTTGCAAACCAAAGCTTTCAAGGTGAGCTTATCAAGACTCGGCAGAAGTTAAAGTGTTAATATGATAGTTTGTGTACTGTATGGCAAATTTTGTATAATGTTTAAATTTTTGTGTAATGTGTCATCTTATAGTAAAGTGGGTTTGTTTGGTTTTTTTTGGAGGAAAAATAACTATACAAAGATTGTAAAGATTTTCACCCATGAAGTGGCATCTAAATCATTCTGAAAGTATAAATAAATAAATTTAAATAAGATGTGTGCTGTTTTTTAAAATTATAAATTATTTAATCCATTGGCTGTCTAAAGTATAATGTATAATAGCAACTAACGGACGGTAAACATCAATATCCTGCATGTTTCCTTTAAAATTAGAAACCATTCATTTAAATTATCATTTTCTATCTCTTGTAAATGGAGATTCATTAGGGCATTTTTTCCTTCTTTTCTTAGTGTTCGGTCCTCAATGAGAAGCTTGAACAACTGCTCCAGGCTTTGCGTACAGACTCCCAGGCTGCTCCTGTTCTCCCAGGCATCAGCCCTGTCCTTGTAGAAGAAGATACAGTGGAATCTTCGAGTGAAGAGTCCTTGTGTGAAAGCAAGGAACAGCTCTTGGATGACACTACAAAACCTTCCTCCCAGAAAGCAGTGAAACCAAAGGAAATAATGTTGCGGGCAAATAGTTTAAAGAAAGCAGTAAGGCAAGTCATCGAAGAAGCCGGAAAAGGTACACATATTAACAAAATGGGCTTTTGAAGATGTTAGCAACATTCTCCTTGCAAGCACAATAAAATGTTCATATTGGTCACACTGGACACACATAAAAAAAATTTTTTAAGACAATGTAAAAGTTAAAATAATTAAAGCAAAATTTATACTAGTAAATAGTTCTAGTTATTGTTTCAGTAGTAGGGATCAACATAGTAATGCTGCTTAAAAAATAAAACTCGGAAACAAAGTATACTGGAATCAAAGAAATAAAATTAAAAATTGCTTTAAATAATATTCTAAGATTTAAAGTATTTTTTACTTACTTGGAATCTTTGAATTCTAAACAAAAATCAAACCTGTATACTACTTTAAAAATATTTTCCTAATATTTTTTTCCTAAATGTTTAGGTTGCTTTTTTAAGAGTTTATAAGTTTTGCCTATACTTTAATTTTTATCTATATATATAAAAGGCTAATATGCAAAGTGTCCCCTTGGGAGTTCGATCAGGAGACCAGGAGTTCTGTCACTCGCTATGACATGCGCTGACCACAAGGGGGAGGTGTGGAACGAAGGAAGGCCCACGGCTGGCAGCTGGGGAAGAGAGGCTCCGGCCGGCAACCGGAAGGAAGGCAGCCAGAAGGCCCCAATCAGCCCTGATTGCCGGCCAGGCTTAGGGACCCTACCAGTGCACGAATTTTGTGCACTGGGCCTCTAGTGTTAATATAATATGTATAATCTTAGAACTTCTATAGTAGACTAAAAGTAAATTTTAATGTAGATAATAAGTATCCAAAATTATTTACAGGTTGTAACTTGTAATTGGACTTGTATTTCATTCTCTAAATTTCTTACGTTTTATTTTTTTCTTCTAATAAAAATGTAATTTTGACAATTTACTTTTATAATCTTTAGCATTTTTATACATTATTTCCAGGTTTATTGTCAATTAGTGTTTATTTGTGACTATGGTATTTCTTTTGGTTTATGTTTCAATTTTCTTTCCCAAGCATATATTGATTTTATTTTTTCTTGTTTCAACATGTTTATCTTCTTAAAGTTATGGACGAGCAGACAGTTCACCCCTGTGAGCCAGTTAATCAATCATTTGATTATGATAGTACAGAAACAGATGAATCTAAAGAAGAATCTAAAGATGATGATGCAAAAGAGTCATTAATTGGTAAGAAAACTAAGAAAATTATTTTGGAATTAAATAAAACATAATTGTGCTTTTAGTTTTTAAAAGGATTGTCAGTTTGAAATAAACTATTTGTATTTTGTTTTCAACAAGGCTTTTCAAAATTTAAAGCTTAGCCATTCATGAATACTAAAATAACAAAGGTAACATTATTTAGACTAAATTCTCTCTTTTTATCATATAATGTAGAGATTATTATAGTAAACTAAGGATTGTAGGACCAAACATGCTTAAATATCTCAATTTTCCTTAAAAAAGAGAGATGAAGCAAAAACACCTAAACCACCAGATTTTAACCTGTTTGAACCCACACATCCCTTTGAGAATTATATAAAAATTGTAGGCCCCACATTCATAAAATTTGGCATTTAAATAATTCATCAAGCCAAAACCGGTTTGGCTCAGTGGATAGAGCGTCGGCCTGCGGACTGAAAGGTCCCGGGTTCGATTCCGGTCAAGGGCATGTACCTGGTTTGTGGGCACATCCCCAGTAAGATATGTGCAGGAGGCAGCTGGTCGATGTTTCTCTCTCATTGATGTTTCTGACTCTCTATCTCTCTCCCTTCCTCTCTGTAAAAAATCAATAAAATATATTTTAAAAAAATAATTCATCAATTCCTTGAGTTCCATTGATCAGCAAATAGATGGTTAATAATTGTTACTAAATTAAGCTTAATAGTAAGATATCTAGTTACAACCCTTTCACTACTGAAATTAATTTTTCCAATAAATTAATATGTAGTTGCTTAAAGAATATTTACGATTCCTCTACCTTTTAAGTTTGGATTGAGGATGGATTTATACTTATATTGTATAAGGGAAAAATTAATATACTAGACTAAAACAAAGAAATTAAAATATTGAGAATATGAAAATATTTCCATAGTACTATTGTAAAGTCAACACTTATATTAGAGCTGTTTGAAATCATTACATTTTTACTTTCATTACCTATGAACTTGAGCAGATTACTATTCTGTGGCTTTCTCATCTGTAAATGGGAATAATAATATACCTGCTTCATAACAACCTACTTGTTGCAAAGGATAAGTTAATACACAAAGTGTCTAGAATAGTGACTCATATATAGTGCTGTTTATATGAGTGTTTATTGTCATTGTCATTATTATTATTGCTATTACTGCCACTGCTACTAATTACATTAACTTTGAAAGACTATTACTTAGTTGTATTTAAACCTCTATAAGAGGCTTCAAAATGAGACCTTATAGACCTTACATGTCTGGCATATTCCACAACCTTAGCCTTTTCAGACTTCCTGTATGCATATTCCAGCATACATGAACTTCACACTTACATTGTAATTGGTAAAGGAAACTAAGAAATACAGATACGTAGCTATAGATATTGATATTGAAGTAGACAGATTATATGCATCTTTAACGATGCAGTATTTTATCTTATTTGTTGGCGAGTAATCCAATTTAGTCAGAATCAGCAATAAAAGTGTTTCTGCATTAAATAATCATTATTTTTTGAAGCACACTCATTGCATTATCATTATTTTGTGTAATGATTCATATGTCTGAGATGTGCAAAATACAGTATATTAATATGATTAATGAGACCTTTAAGAACCGTGAAACATTAATTTATTTACCTGCTATGGAACATCAGTCTTAGCCAGCAGGATGCTCTCTGCTTTTTATCATAGTTGAATATCAAAAGGTTGTTTTTATTAGAAATTAGCTCCAGAGCTTCCATCTGTCAAAAAAAGAGAGTGTCTGTTCAGTTACTTTTCTTTAGTGTAACTGGACTGTTTTTGAACAGAGAAGAGAGTGTAAGATTAATATAATTAGTTTGTAATTAGTCTAAGGAAGTCTAAAGGTAATTAAGTTTGAGTATTTTTAAATTGAGTTAGAGGATTACTGTTTCTTTAAACACCTGCCAATAACTCCTAAATTAGTTAAAGATATATGTGCTCTCCATTAAAATCTCCAGTTTAGGTTTAATTAAATTTCTATTTTTGTCGTTAATTTTGAGAGTAATTCTCTTTTGGAACAATTTTTAAAATGTATTGAGCTTTTACAAAACATAATGGGACTGTTTGGGGCAAATCTTTGTTTTAAATAAATAACTAATTGAGAAGTACAGGAAAAGTATATTCCTTTCATTTGAAAAAAGAACCTATTTTCTCTTTCATTTATAGAAGAAAATTTTAACTCATGGTTAACATATTAGCTCTGGGAAATACATTCATTAAATTTGACCATTCATCCAACATATATGAAAAAAGGGTTGCACTGAGAACATACATAACCCCTATGTTTTATTTTTAAAAATTATCAGGTTTCAGAATTTTTTATCTTTACATATGGGATGATCACATTCAAATTATGAATATTACTGACCTTTAATTATGGTAGGCATCTCTTTTCTAATGATCTCCACCTCTCTAAAATGAGAGATCAAGTTTCTCCATATAGTAAATCTCAAGAAAATGAAAATGGTAAAATAGGTAAGCACAGTGTAATATTTTCATTTTCAGTTGTACGGATTGATTTACATATGTATTAAATTATTGTATGTTGTGAATTTATAGGGGCTTGCTTATTTCTATAACTTTATCATTCCTTCTTTTTAATCTGGACCTTTTGCCAACAGTTAAAACTGCACCTCGGTCTCCAGATGGCCGGGCAAGTCGTTCCCAGCCTGACCCTGGCCCTGGCCCAGCTGTGGCAGCCAGCAAAGAAAACCTCCCTGTGCTCAACACCAGGATAATCTGCCCAGGTAGTACATATTCTGAAACATGGTATCTTTTAAAAATATTTTTGTAAAAATGTAAAGCTACTCATTTCTATGAACTTTTAAAATGTGTGTTTTTTATTAATATATATTTTTATTGATTTCAGAGAGGAAGGGAGAGGGAGAGAGAGATAGAAACATCAATGATGAGAGAGAATCATTGATTGATTAAGCCCACAACCTAGGCATGTGCCCTGACCAGGAATGGAACTGTGACCTCCTGGTTCATAGGTCGGTATTCAACCACTGAGCCAAGCTAGCTGGGCTTTTTTTGCTTGTTTGTTAATCCTCACCTGAGGATTTTTTTCCTCATTGCTTTTTTAGAGAGAGGAGAAGGGAGGGAGAGGGAGGTAAATATAGATGTGAGAGAGATACATAGATTGGTTGCTTCCCACACATGCCCTCATTGGGGCAGGGATCGAACCTTCAACCCATGTACATGCCCTTGATTGGAAATTGAACCTGTGACCCTTAGGTCCTTGGGCCAACATTCTAACCACTGAGAAACACTGGGCAGGGCTAAAATGTGTTCTTAAAGATAAATGTCCCTTCAGGAGAATGTGCTTGGTACATTTATCAACCAGAGTCCAGATCCTTTAACTTATGTGTGTATAAGAATTGCCTAGAAAGTACTAAAATACATGTTTCTGGTCTCTGCCCTGAGAAATTTTGTTTGAGTAGTTCTAGAGCGGAACCCAGAAATCTGCATTTACTAAGTACCCAAGGTAAATCCAATCTTATATTCTACTCCCTTTTAAGTGTCTTCACAGGTTTCCTTTTAGTTTTAAGCCACAGTCTCTCTGCAGTTATTTCTGAATTAGAAATATTGTTTAATTTGGAACATCTGAGAAATCTATTCCAGACCTGACAAGATGAACTTATTTTGGAATTAGGTTTGTACTAGTGGTAACCAAAGAACTTGTGCAGCAGAGGAGGGAGGAAAAGGCAGATGTCTCAGAGGCCTTCTTATGTGCCAGCTATTTCAATTAATGAAAATCTCCAGATGCATTCCAGAGTAGATTGGAACCCAAATTACATCCTGAAATATAACACAACTTTGTGTCTTCTATAAATTGTTTCTAAAGGTAAATACAGTTCAATAATAATAATTGGAAACTTTAGTACCCCTCATTCAGTAGTGGATAGAACAACTAGACAGAGATCAAGAAGGAAATTGGAGACTTGAAAACACATAAAACGAGTAGTCAGAACAGATGTTTACAGAATACTCTACCCAACAACAGTAGAGTACACATTCTTTTCAAGTACATATGGAATATTCTCCAATATATACTAAATACTAGGCCATAAAACAATTCTCAGTAAGTTTAAAAGGATTGAAGTCATACAAAGTACATTTTATGACCACAACTGGAATGAAATTATAAACCAATAACAGAAGAAAATTTGAGAAATGCACAAATATGTGGATCAAAAGCTGTGATATATTTACACCATGGAATACTATGCAACAGTAAAAAAGAAGGATCTCTTATCCTTTGAGACAGCATGGAGGGACCTGGAAAGGATTATGCTAAGCAAAATAAGCCAGTCAGAAAAAGGCAAGTATCACATGATCTCACTCATATGTGGAATCTGAAGAACAAAATAAACTGATGAAAAAAATAGATCCAGGGATATAAAAACATAGAACAGACTGTCAAATCTTAGAGGGAAGGTGGGGGTAGATAGGTGAGTAGAAAGAGATTAACTAAAGAATTTATATGCACATATGCATAACCTGTGAACACAGACAATAGGGTGGTGAAGGCCTGAGACAGGATGTGGGTGGGGATTAAAAGGGGTCAATGGGGAAAAAAAGGGACATCTGTAATACTTTCAACAATAAAGATACATTTAAAAAGAGAAAAAATCATAAAATATGCTTTGATATGAATGAAAACAAAAATATATCATATGCCAAAACTTATTTGATATAGCTAAAGCAGTGCTTAGAGTAAAATTTGTAGCTGTAAATGCCTATATTAAAAAAAAATTAGAAAGATCTCAAAACCTAACTCTCCAACTTAGTAAACTGGAAAAACAAGAAGAGCAAACTAAATTCAAAGCAGCAGTAGGAAGGAAATCAATAAAGATTAGCGTAGAAATAAATGAAATTGAGTATAGAAAACAAGACAGAAAAGCAATGAAACCAAAAGTTGACTGTGAGCAGAGTAACAAAATTGACAAACCTTTACATTGATCAAGAAAGTAAGATAGAAGATTCAAATTACTGAAATCAGGAATTAAAATAATACATCACCATGGACTTTACAGAAATAGAAAGGATTATACGAGAAAAACAAATTAGATAATCTAGATGAAATGGACAAACTCCTAGAAACACACGAACTATCAAAACTGCTTCAAGAAGAAATAGAAAATCTGAGTAGACCTTAAATAAGTAGAGAGAATGAATTTATAATAAAAAAACTTTCTATAAAGAAAAGCCCAGGCCCAAATTGCTTCACTGTTGAAGTTTTAAAAAGAAATAACACCACCCTAGCTGGTTTGGCTCAGTGGATAGAGTGTTGGCCTGCAGACTTAAGGGTCCTGGGTTCAATTCTGATCAAGGGCACATGCCTGGGTTGCGGGCTCGATCCCCAGTAGGGGGTGTGCAGGAGGCAGCCAAGCAATGATTCTCTTTCATCATTAATGTTCTCTCTCTTCCCCTCCCTTCCTCTCTGAGATCAATTAAAAAAAGAAGAAGAAATAATAACAATCCTTCACACACACTTTCAAATACTAGAAGAGGAAAAAACACTTTCCACCATTCTATGAATCCAGTATTACCCTGATATAAAACCAAAGACATCACAAGAAAACTCCAGATCAATATCGTTCATGAATAGCAACACAAAAATCTTCAACAAAATACTAGCTAATTGAATAACCCAACAACTTTAAGCAATTATACACCATTACCAGTATTCTCTCAGTGTTGCAACGTTGATTCAACATAATGAAAATCAACGTGACATACTATGTTAATAAAGGACAAAAACACATAATTATCTCAGTAGATACAGAAAAGGCATTTTTAAAAGGTCAACATCATTTGAAGGTAAAAACACAACCAGGAATAGAAAGGAACTTCTTCAACCTGATAAAAGGGCATCTATGAAAAACCTACAGCTGACATCATACTTAATGGTGAAAGGTGAAAGCTTTCTCTCTAAGATCAGGAACACGAGGAGGATGTCTACTCTTTCCATTCTAGTCAACACTGTATAGAAGGTTTTAGCTTAGGAAACTAGAAAAAATAAAAAGTATTAAAGACATCCAAATTAGAAAGGAGGAAGTACTGTATGTCTTTAGGACTTGTGTTACATATAGAAAATCCTAAAGAGTGCACATATACACACTATTAGAGATAATAAATGAATACAAGGTTGCAGGATAAGAGATCAATATACAAAAAGTAATTGCATTTCTCTAGTAATGAACAGTCTTAACATGAAATTAAAATAATTTTATTTACAATAGCATAAAAAATAACAAAAAATAAGAATAAATTTAACTAAGAAGGTGAAAGATTTGAATACTGAAAACTACAAAACATTGCTGAAAGCAGTTAAAGATCTAATTAAATGTAAATGCATCTGTGTTCATGGATTGGAAGACATAATATTATTAAAATGGCAACTCATCTCAAATTGACTAGATTTCACACAATCCTTACCAAAATCCCAACTGCTCATTGTGCAGAAATTGACAAGCTGATCTTAAATTTCACATGGAAATAAAAAGGACCCAGAAGAGTTAAAAACAACATTGTAATGGAAAAAGAAAGTTGAAGGACATACTGCCTGATTTCAAAACTTATTACGGAGCTACAGTGTTCAAGACCACATGGAACTGGCATTATAGTCATATAAGCCAATGGAATAGAAGTGAGAATTCAGAACTCTAATATTTATGGCTAATTGGTTTTCAACAAATGTGCTAAGACAGTTATTCAACAGGGAAAGAATAGTTTTTTCAACCACTGCTACTGGAACAACTAGATATACATAAGAACTAAGTTAGACCCTTCTTTCACGCGATACATAAAAATATAAGAGCTAAACCTATAAAACCACAAAAAGACAGTATAGACGTAAATGTTTGTAACCTTGGAATAGGCATTGGTTTCTTAGAAAGCACAAGCAACACATGAAACTATAAATTGGACTTCATCAAAATTAAGGATATTTGTGATTCAAAGGACACCATCAAGAAACTACTGAGATGACAGTCCACAGGATGGGAGAAGATATTTGCAAATAGCATATCTGTTAAGTTGCTAGTATCCAGAATATATAAAGAACTAAAAATTAAACAATAAAAAGACAAATATCCCAATTTAAAAATGGGCAAAGGATCTGGGTAGTCATTTTCCCAAAAAGATATATAAATGGCCAATAAATAAATTTGAAGTTTGCATATTTAGAGGTAAGAAAAATGCTTATTTTTATGTTCAATACTATATTCTAAAATTTATTAATACCTACACTTAACATTTTACTACTTATTATTGACACCAACATGATTTTTCACCTTAGTATATATGTTAACATTTTAAGTTGAGTATTATCTATGCTTTGTGAATATGGAAATGGTAACTCCAGGACATTTTGAGTAATTCAGCCTTTATTGTAAACTTCTTGTAGTCTTAATACTTCATTTGTTATAACAAAGGAAGTAATATTTGTTGAAGTTACAGAATCATTGGGATGGTAAATGAGAAATGGTTACCAAGAGACTCCGATGTAGGTACTCACCTGTTTCTCTTTTTTTTATAGCAACATATAGACTCTAAGAAGCATCAAAAGCCTTGTACCTACCAATGTCATAATTCTTCATTTTTATTAATGAGAAGAGCAGGCACTGAAAACCATGCTTTGAAATTAGTCCTAAAAATATGGACTGGATTTTCCTTAACATGTGATCCTATATATGCTTATTTTTCCCTGTCCAGGTTTAAGAGCAGGACTAGCTGCCTCAATTGCTGGGAGTTCAATTATCAACAAAATGTTACTAGCAAATATTGATCCTTTTGGTGCAACGCCATTTATTGACCCAGATCCAGATTCAGTGTAAGCAAATACTTCCATAGATTTTGTCTTGGCTTTTCTTGTCACTGTTTGATATAAATGGTAACATTTAAAATGTATTACAATAAATACGGTCCCACGTACAAAAAAGAATCATCAGAAAATGTCAGCAGTTGATAATGATGAGCACATTGGCCCTTGTGCAATACAGTGGTTTTCATGACCTGTTCCTGAGGTGGGTCCCTTCCAGCTGTTGCCTTAGACCAGCGGTTCTCAATCTGTGGGTCGCAACCCCTTTGGGGGTCGAACGACCCTTTCACAGGGGTCGCCTAAGACCATCAGAAAAGACATATATAATTACATATTGTTTTTGTGATTAATCACTATGCTTTAATTATGTTCCATTTGTAACAATGAAATTGGGGGTCACCACAGCATGAGGAACTGTATTAGGAAGGTTGAGAACCACTGCCTTAGACAATAAGCCTATGGCGAAGTGAGACTCCACTCTGTACTCGCTTTTCTCTGGAACATTTCATTCACTGACTCCTTCATATCCATATTCATGCTATTCCTTTCACCTCCCTTCTTCTTGGTCTTGCCAAATATGTCATCTTCCACTTCCAGCTTCTGGGTTTAGTTATTTCAGGAAGCTTTTAGCCCACATTGATCTCTTCCCTTCTTAAACTCCTAAAAATTTTTTTGGCAGTTCAATATATCTTCCTTTTACTTCCATGTTTAATTTTGCCTGACTGTATCTCATTTCTCTAATGACAACCCTCAACAACAAGACCATATTTTAAACTTTGCACTTTCCAAAGTACCTGGAAGAATGGAATAGATTTAGTAGGGTTTTGCTTATTAAGTATTTATCCATTGATAAGAGTAGGAGTGGAGGAGTCTTTCTAATGATGAAAAAAGAGGAGTCTTGCAAGCCCTTCTATCTGTGTGTGTAGTGGGGGCTCATGTAGGAGAGAGAACTGAGATTTTTGTGAGACAGTAGAAAAGCATTGCCATGACTCTCTCTTCATTTTGTCTTGCCCACCATCCCTTTATGTGTTACCAGCATTTACCCACATATCCTGGAGTTGTGCATAGTTCATGTGAATAGGAAGTGATTTCTGCTCAACTTTATTCTCAGGAATGGAAGCTTTAATGGTTTTAAGTGCTGTGTATAAATTGTAATTGTTATGAACTGAAATTGACTTTTATGTACTTTTCCTTATTATCATAGAGATGGATATTCAGAAAAATGTGTCATGAACAATTACTTTGGGATTGGATTAGATGCAAAAATTTCATTAGAATTTAATAATAAGAGAGAGGAGCACCCTGAAAAATGCAGGTAATTTTGGTAATAGTAATAATGTTATTACATGAAGGCAATTTTACTTTGATTTCATTTATTATCTCTTTTGCTTGCTCTGCCTTTAAAGACTAAATAAATAGTAGTTACTGAAATTGCCTGCCAACATTTATTTTCAGGAGCCGAACTAAAAACTTGATGTGGTATGGAGTTCTTGGAACCCGGGAGTTACTACAGAGATCATACAAGAATTTAGAACAGAGGGTTCAGCTTGAGGTAAGTTTATCTTAAAGTAAAGACATTTCAGGTTATCTTACTTAGAAAAATGATTGTATTTGGCCAAAATTCCTCTTGATTAGTGTGTAAACACTTGAGGGGGAAAAATGGAAGTAGTTACAACTTTCTACTAAGGAGGTATAGACATTGGATATGAGTGACACAATTATCATAACCATTAGCCCTGAAATTTGAATGCTGCTGTGGAGTCATGGGACCCCGTAAAAAGGTGGAGCCATGGAAGTATATTTACAGGATAGATTTCTAATGGATTTCCAAATTCTGACCCAATCCTATAGTGCCTGAAGTTTCATAAATCCTTGAAAACATTTATTGTAAATAGAATGTTTTAACATAAATGTCTTTTTTGTTCCAATTATTTCTAACAAGTTAGTAAATGAGCATGTTAGTTTTTTAGTTTTTTGTTTGTTTGTTTTTTGCTAGTTTAAATAGGAAATTAAGGTCAGCAGAAGTTAATCTCCTCCAGTAACAGGAAAAGGAAGGTTGGGTCATGTTATGGCTCTGAAAAGTCTAATTTCTAAGACTTTTTTCTTTTACCCTTGGTCCAGGACTCACTGTGTATGCTGATAGGCATTTCATTCCTATCTTGTATCTTTTTATAACCAGCTATTTCTAGTGAAGGTATATCTGACATACCAACAAGTGAGCAAATCTTACATCTGCCGCTCAATGAATTAAAGAGAGGATTATTATTGTAAGTGTTATTTTAACTCTGGAATGCGGACTAATGAGTGCCTGGCTCAATTCTTACCAACTAAATGTTCTAGTAAAGATAAGCTTCTTATACTTTCTACTCTAGAGCACTGACTACTTGATCAACTATCTTGATTTATCAATGCTTTTAAAGTTTAGATGTTACTCACCGAAAAGGTGAAGAATTTGGAAGGCTTAACACTAGTAAAATGTTGTCCTGACAACTTGGGTTCTCTCCTCTGTGTTGTACTGTAATCATTCATTTTCTCATCCACATCCTCTAGTTAGCCACACTCTTTAAGGATAGGTAGGATATTGCATTCATCTTCGTTATCCCGAGTGTCTTGCATAATTCCTGGCCCTGTCTTGAGGGAGAAACAGAGGTAAATAATCATTTAACCATAATTTGGCAAGTACTGTGAACTATCTGGAATCAGAATGGCCTGATTCCTTTAGCTCTTCAGAAATAGTATTTCTAACCTTTTCTATTGGTGGTCCAGATTTAGAGCAAGACCATCTTCCTTGCCCTAGCTGGTTTGGCTCAGTGGATAGAGTGTCGGCCTGTGGACTGAAGGGTCCCAGGTTCGATTCTGGTCAAGGGCACATGCCTAGATTGTGGACTTGATCCCCAGTGGGGTGCGTGCAGGAGGCAGCCGATCAATGACTCTTCATCGTTGATATTTCTGTCTCTCTCTCCCTCTCCCTTCCTCTCTGAAATCAATAAAATATATATATATTTTTTTAAAAGACCATCTTCCTTATGCAGCTGCATTTTACACTCCACTTAACATGGGTTTTAACCCTTTTTGAGCTGTGGCATGCTGTTGAAACCATGGACCTCCTCTGAGAATATTGTTTCTAAATGCATTATGTAAAATACATAGACTTAAAAAAGAAACCATTAATATGGAAATAAATTAATGAAATTTTTAAACTATTAGTATGTTAAATTAAGCAATTTAAATAGAACTTCCTTTGAAGATGAGATGTTAATTTTTTTTCATACCATGTATCCAAATAAAGTATATGCATTTATATATCTTTAAAGCTGCTCTGAATTTTTCATTTAAACTAAAAAAACACACAACACAACTCAGTTCACCCATTTCTTCCATCCCCCACCCCTTGCCTCTTGGCAACCACCAATCTTTTCTCTGTATTTATGAGCTTTTTTTTAGACTCTGTATCTAAGATTATATGGCATTCTGAGTTATTTTAAATGGTTGAATCTAATGAAAAAAATAAACTGTTGAACAAAATAGATCCAGAGACATAGAAGCATGGAACAGACTGAGGAATCCCAGAGGGTGGGAAGAGATCAACCAAAAAGGTTGTATGCATATATGCATAACCCATGGACACAGACTGTAGGGTGGTGGAGGCCTGGGACATGGGGCAGGGTGGGGTCAATGGGAAAAAAGGGGACATATGTAATACTTTCAACAATAAAGATCTAAAAAATAATAATAATAACACTACAGGCTTTGTATTCCAGAGATATAAAACTTCTAATTTGGAGCAGGTTGTCTTTCTTTCAAACTGTTATTATCAAAATTCTTTGTGAATCAGCCAATACATAGCATATCCCAGGAATGGTGAAGCTACTTCCAGTTTGAGTTGGTGGACAGTGATTCAGAGGAGTACCAGAAAGATCACTCAGTGGTATTTCAGTGTTTACAGAAAAAACCTAATTCCTTAAGTTGATATTCAGCGTTTTCCACAGTTGTAGACCTCCCAGGATTTACTTTATATCTCTCTTAATTTTTAATCCTCTGCTCAAGAAAATAAAGTTAATCTTTAAAACTCCAGGAAATCATGTTTTTATGCACTTTTGTTCATGCTCTTCCTTTTCTTATTCCTTCACTGACCTAACTCTGGATAAAGCCTTTTGAAAATTCTCTACCCGTTAGTTGTCATTTTCCTCCTTCTTCCTTAAAGAAATGGAAATAATAGAGTCTACTGAGGTTGTTTTCAAATAAAATGAGATAACATTTTAAAATAACATATAACAGGAACTACATAATACTACCTAAAGTTTTCCCTCATATTTTAAATTATATGTCCTGGATTTTAGCTATGATGTGATGATGAAGTATCTAAAACCAGGCTGCCATTAATAAAACAGAGTAGAATATTGGGCAAACTATAGCACGCTTAGAAACTGAAAAGAAGTAGAGCAGGTCTATGATACTGAGAGGAGTAAAGCAAGCAAGGCTCATTTGCCTTAAAAATTGAGATAATTTTTATTGAACTTTAAATGCAATTTTTGTAAAGTTATATTAATTATTTTTAGTGTTAACATAATAATTACATAATGAAAATATAGCGTGTATATTAAGTATGATATCTGCAAACTAAACTCTTTTAAAATGAAGGCTATTCAGTAAGAATTTATTCATGTCATGTATAATTGATATCTCTTTCTTATTTAAGTGATCATTTAATTTTCATCTAAGTGATTACTTAGAAGGCATGGAGTATAAGATACTTCTTGACATACATGTGTGTTTTTGATTTTGGTTCTGACTACTTAAAAAACTCAGTTTGAGTTTAACCAGATACAGAGCACTAGCAAATTACTGGGAGCTGTGAGATGTACTAGATGAAATGGTTAGGACCCTGACAGCAGCCACTTTCAAAGGAAAGTTAATATACATACTAAGATTATCTATAATAATAAAAGCATAATATGCTAATTAGACCAGATGTCCTTCAGGATGAAGCCAGAGCCAGAGAAAAGCCAGTGCCAGCAGCCAGGGGAAGGAAGGCCTGCTCTTGCACGAATTTCGTGCATTGGGCCTCTAGTGATACTGTAAGTGAGAATATCATAACTGACCTGAAAAAAATAACCTCAAGATAAGTATTGATTGATTTTGGTTAAAAGAAGAGGTAAAACCTTTTTTTTGTTGTTGTTTAGTTTGGTTTTCGTTAAAACCTTCTGTTACACTTATGTACACTTCCAATTTTTTAAATTAAAATCAAAGACCATAAAAGTAATGTTAGGAATATATTTACAGGGAAACAAACATTACCAACACACTTGCCTTCGTCATCCTTTGTCTTTGGTGTACTTCTGGCTTCCAGACTAGTGGTTTTCTTCTTTTTATCTAACTTCTAAGCTTTTTACCTTACAGTGTGATGGACAGTATATTCCTCTCCCCAGTCTGCAAGGAATAGCAGTACTGAACATTCCCAGCTATGCCGGAGGCACTAACTTTTGGGGTGGAACTAAAGAGGACGATGTAAGTATTTCCTTGCTCCTTCCAGATTCTAGAGGCTGCCCATGTTCCTTGGCTTGTGGCCCCTTTCTATCCTCAGAGACAACAAGGGCAGCTTGAGTCTTCTCGCATTGCATCTTTCTGATCTCCTCTTCTGTCTTCCTCTTCTACTTTAAATGACCTTTGTGATTACATTGGGCCTTCCCACATCATCTAGGATAATCTCCCCATTTTTGGATCCCTAGTTTAATCACATCTGCAACGTCTCTTGCCATGTGAGGTAATATTCACAGGTTTTGGGGATTAGGACAGAAACATTTTGTTTAGGGTTGTTGGGGGCCATTATTGTATCTATCAAAATACCTTTCTGTACTTTTAGTTTTCTAAATTTATGTGATTTTTTTTTTTATTTTAGAAATGTCAAGAGGGTTTATTTGACCATTGAGGATGAGTGCTATTTTTGTTTTCTTTTTTATAGTTTCCTATATTAAAAAAGAAAAAACACACAACCTAAGAAAGGTAATTGTTCTAAAAATAATTTTTAAAAGCAAGGACACAATTATTAAAGTATATATAACATAAAAATGAGAAGTGTTATCACCATCTTTGTTTGAAGAGTCACATACATTCAATAATAGATCCTTTACTTTGAGGCTTATGATATAACAGTTCCACTGACCCATTTTCTCAGAGCTAGTAAATAAGCATGCAGGAATTAAATGCAGGAATTAAATATATTGGAAAGAATTTTTAATATTTACAATGTGAATATATTCACTTCCTATTGAAGTATAAAAACTAACATGAGCAGTCAGTTTGTTGTCAGCCTGTCACTACTCATTTTTTGTTTGTTTGTTTCTTAATCCTCACCTGAGGATATTTTTCCATTGATTTTTTCAGAGAGAGTGGAAGGGAAGGGAGAGAGAAAGAGAGAGAGAGAAAGAAACCTCAGTGTGAGAGAGACACATTGATTGGTTGCCTCCTGCATGAGCCCTGTCCAGGGCTGGGGATGGAACATGAAACCCAGGTATGTGCCCTTGACCAGAAATGAACGAGAGACCCTTTGGTGAGCGACACTCTAACCACTGACCCACTCTGCCAGAGCAGCCTGTCACTACTCTTAAATATTTTAAGGGGAAGAAATTAGTGAGATTAAGATGAATAAAGCTGCCCAGTCAGTGTGGCTTAGTGGTTGAGCATTGACCTATGAACCAGGAAGTCGCGATTCAATTCCTAGTCAGGGCATGTGCCCGGGATGTGGGCTCCATCCCCAGTGAGGGCCCTGCAGGAGGCAGCTCTCCCTCTCCCTTCCTCTCTGAAATCAATAAAAATATATTTTTAAAAAACTAGGCAGTCTGATGACAAAAGCGATAATTATCAATGTTCGCAAATTTGTGTCCTGATAGTTTCAGTGAATGTTTTCATTAGGACACTGCTTTATACTGAGTTTTTTTTCCAGAGGTCTAATTATTTATGATACAGGAAAAGAAAGTAAAAGGGGAAAAGTAATATAGGTGAAATTTAAAACTTTAGGTTAAATTAGTTTTGTGAAAATCCAGTTAACATCAAAGCAAAGTAAGTCTTACATGATTTTTATCCCTTGAGGTCTCTTGTCCATATTCTCAAATGCCCTAAAGAGTTATTGTATTAATATAGAAAGCACATATACATATTGCTTGTAACACCTTGAAAGAATCCCTTAAAGCTTACCAAGTGAACTGGATCATAATCTTCATGTTCATTAGCTTTAACCTTATGAAATCTATATCCCCTTTGGTTGTGTTTTTTTAGGTTTCTTAAAACTGCAGGCATCATTTTGTCAAGACATTTGAGTTATGTATAAACAGATATTTAATACATTTTATACCAAGATGAATTATGAGGGCATGAGTATTATGTCATGTGGGTCTTAAAACCTATTTTTATTAGGGTTGTTTGTTTTAAGACATCTTCAGCGATATCTTTGTCCTTGGGTTATCATTTCCTACTAATACTTCATTTTCTTAGTATTTTTATAATTTTTTAAAACTATGTATATTACAGAGTTTGCATTGCCTGACTTAACTTAAACCTTAATTTCATTAGTGGAAGTGTAATGTAGTTTTTCCTTTCAGATATTTGCTGCACCATCATTTGATGACAAGATCCTGGAAGTCGTTGCAATATTTGATAGTGTGCAAATGGCGGTGTCAAGGGTCATTAAACTACAGCATCATCGAATAGCCCAGGTTTGTTTTTCTAATTGAGTCTGACTTCACTACTTGGGGCACTGGGGAAGCTATTTCAGATGACTCCTACACTGTATATTCATTTTAAAATATTGACTTCCTTGTCATGTCAGTTGTTACTATGTCATCGTAAGTGGAAAATTATAACATACCATTCCACAGTATGGACTAAAGGTCAAGTCTGAATGTGGATTGTCAATTTCTCAGGATGATTTGTATTCTAAAATAACTTGTTTTATTTCAGTGCCGTACAGTAAAAATCACTATATTTGGTGATGAGGGTGTCCCAGTGCAAGTGGATGGTGAAGCATGGGTTCAGCCTCCAGGGATTATCAAAATTGTGCACAAGAACAGAGCTCAGATGCTAACAAGGGACAGGGTATGTAATCAAAAACATTCCTCCAGACTTTTAGTAAGCCTTCTAAAAATATCTTAAATTATCACCCCAAAAAAATAGAAATCAAGAGAAAAGGTTGAAATTGCCGTTTAAATCTGACATTTAAGTCATTGTGGTTTTAAATATGAACAAATATTTTAATTTTTTAAAAAGTTAATAGGTTGGTTTTTTTAGGTTTACAGAAAGTGCAGAAAATTTTAATTCTGTTCCCACAGACCTCATCACCTGGACAAGCAAATAAACGCCTTTATTATTATTGCATCTTGTATGAGCACATTTTTTATAATTGATTAGCCAATATTGATATATTATTATTAATTCAAGTCTTTTAGTTTGCATTACTGTTTGCTGTTCATTCTGTAGGTTTTGACAAATGTCTAATCCCTGGTATTCACCATGACAGGATGATACAGAGTAGTTTCACTGCCCTAAAAATTCCTTGTACTGCACCTATTCATCCCTCACTCTCTTACCCCAGCCCCTGGAAACCATCAATCTTTATGCTATCTCCATAGTTTTGCCTTTTCTAGAATGTGCATTTTCATTTATTTATTTTTAAAATATGTTTTTATTGATTTTAGAAAGAGGAAGGGAGAGAGAGAGAGAGAAAATCATCAATGAGAGTGAAACATCAACATCGATTGGCTGCCTCCTACACGCCCCGGCTGGGAATGGAGCCTGCAAAGCAGCCATGTGCCCTAACTGGGGAATAGAACCATTGACCTCTTGGTGCGTGGGTCAGTGCTCAACCACTGAGCCACACAGGCTGGGCAAGAATATGCATTTTTTAATTAAAGTCACACACCTAACAAATAAGACTGCCAATGTTTATCCTATCTGTTATACATTGATAATAATAATAAATTGAAGCTATTTTTTTAACATTTTAGTAACATATTTATCATCAACAATTACATTACTTTTAATTTATTGTGATATGTTGGAAAACTTTAAAGTGTGTTTTTTATGTTTATGATTTGTTTAATGATGTGTTAAATTAGAGAAAAAAACAATAGATGTTTTAAAGGCATAATATCTAAATACACATTTATTTGGGTTTCTGAGGTTCTAAACTAACAGTTCATTGTAAAATTGATTTTTAAATAGGCTTTTGAAAGCACTCTGAAATCTTGGGAAGATAAGCAGAAGTGTGATTCTGGTAAACCAGTTCTTCGAACCCATTTGTACATCCAACATGCTGTTGACTTGGCAACGGAGGAGGTGTCTCAGATGCAACTGTGCTCCCAGGCTGCAGAGGAGCTCATTACGAGGTAGGGTGGTCCTGCTGGCTTTTGGGCTGTGAGAACTCTGGTCTTGGCCAGTTTTGTTTTATGAGTCCTAATACATCATTTCATATATTTGGGGTATCTAACAGATGAATTTCCGCTCTTTCTTCATTTGCTGCCTCAATACTTGCTGCTCTCCTTCATCAGATCCCCTCCAGCACATATGCTCACACCTGTGTTCTCTTGGACTGTGAACAGGTCTTGCACTTCTTGAAACACATGGTGAGCTTGCCTAATGTATCCAGCACACAGTACTCTTTGTTACTGTTTGTTTCCCCAGTTTATACGCAGTCTTTACTGACATATATTGCCTTATAATTAATTATTAATTAAATGTTGATAGAATGTAGAAAGAAATGGAAACATTGCTCCAAAGGAGAGTCAGGGGTGGAGGGGATGGGAAGAGCCCGAGAATCAGTTTCCAAAGATTGAGAGACCACACAGAAATTATTTTTAGTAGACAGAAAGGGAAAAGATAGAAATAACAAGTTCTATGCATGTAAGACATAAAATCACCAAGACCAGGAGTAACCTTCAGAGGAAAGGAGGCACCACGGACAGTGGGGTAAGTAAGAGCTGCCTTACCAGGTCACTGTGAATATTGAATGAGACCCACCATGTACAGTGCTTGTTAACACATCATGTCTGGCACATGTTGTGTTCTCTGAATGGTAGCTATTATATTCTCCCCACACCTTCATCTGGACACGATTACAATGTTGAAAAAGAAAAGAAGGAAAATAGAGCTCAGTGGTACTGGAGGCTTACTTGCCCCCTTTCCCTCCCTCCTACCTACTGTCTGCTTCCCGCCCCCGCATTCCTTATTTCCCTCTTTAACTATTTCTCGGACACCTAGAATGTGCTTGATGCTAGAGATACTGAGAAAAAGGTATACACTCCCTACTGCTAGAAACCAAAATTCAAAATTAGAATAAAGTATGATAACTGCCAGATACTGAGTTGCTTAGAAAAAATGTA